TTAATTAGTTGTTTCAGGTATGTTTGAATAGGGTTGGAGCAAAACTGCAGAGCTGCGGCCCTTCAGGAATTGAGTTTGAGACCTGTGTCCTGCATTATTATTTTTTATTGTATTTTTTAAGGTAAATGGGGGTGTATGTTATATGGCACATTGTTAATTGCAAAGCTCCTTTATTTAAAAAAGAAGGAAAAAATCCTGCAAGTTTTGAAAGAGATCAAGCCTCAGGCAGGTCAGAAAAAGTAAAGCTGAAGTAACTCATAAGTAACGCATTACTTACCATAGAAAGTAACTAGTTTTAGACTGGTACAGTAAGGTACGTTATAGGTCAGTACGGGTCACCTTTATCAGGCTGACGTTTCCAATGCCAAAAGGATACCAGTGGTACCCTCTCATCTGTATCTTTATTCTTCACCAGCACATGCAACCTCTTGTTAGAGAGTAATTCCGTCATTCTGAATTCAAATAAAATAGTCCAAAAGGCGATGATAATAGTTAAACATGGCAGTTTGTTCATGCTTAAGATTGCTGAAAGAATCATCTGCTCCTTTGTTTATTCCGGCTTCTCCTTTGGTTTTTCACATTTCACTCTCGCGTTTGTTCATTTCTGAAAGGATCGGATGTCAGAAGCACTTTAATAATCACATGCACGTTATTAATATGAGCTCAAGAAGTTTGTTATTTCAAATATAGATGCGATGCAAGCTCACGCGAGAAAGTGAAACTGCTCAGGCTTTTGATGACCTTGTAAACAACTACGGTGCACAGGGTAGATTCTGCTCTTCTTGGCTTTGTGGCTGTCCATCAAGATGATGACAAGGTTAGTTTGAGCTCGGGTCGACCATGGCTTGTTTAATATATGTATATATTAGATTGTTTCTGTGTAATGTCTCGGCTGTGTATTTAAAAATGCCGTTTTGTTTGTTTTCATTGTACTAGCTTGTGAACAAGTTACTGACGTATCTCTGTAAATCAATAGCATTCAGCTGCTCGTCTTGCTCCGCCTTTTGGTACCCTTTTGTTGTGCAAGGTACCATTCCGGAAGAATACCCAAAAAGTGGTATGGTATGGTTCGCTTTTAGGTACCTTTTGACTGGAAATGGCCATAAAAGCGTACCTTACCGCACCGTACCACTCAGTGGAAACGAGCCATAAGTAACGCAACTACTTACTTCTTTAGGGAGTAACTCAGTATTGTAATCACAGTTGGGGAAAGTTATTATAGAAAGTAGTGCATTACAATACTGAGTTACTCCCCAAAAAAGTAACTAGTTGTGTTTCTTTTTATGGAAAGTAATATGTTACGTTTCTTTTGAGTTGCTTTTTCATACCTGCCTGAGGTTTGATCTCTGTCAAAACTTGCAGGATATCTTTGTTTATTTTAAATAGAGGAGCTCTGCATTTAACAACACACTGTATAACATACACCTTCATTTACCAAATTAAAAAGATATAAGAATAATGTCACCTTCATGTCCAGGCTGTGGTGCACTGGGACCAGCTCTATACCCTTGAGGGTTCATAAGAGTATGCCCAGCCAGTCCACGTGTGTTTTGTGGACTTGGAGAAGGCATTCGACCGTGTCTCTCCTGGCTTTTTTTGGAGGGTGCTGTGGGAGTATGAGGTCAGAGGTGCTCTTTTAAGGACCGTCCTGTCCCTGTATAAACAGAGTAGGAGTTTGGTTTGCATTGCCGGCAATAAGTCAGACTTGTTTTCAGTGCATGTTGGACTCCGGCAGGGCTGACCTGTCACCAATTCTGTTCGTAACTTTTATAGACAGAATTTCAAAGTGCAGCCTTGGGCTGGAGAGGGTCCGGTTCAGGGACCACAGGATTTCATCTCTGTAATTCGTAGATGATGTTGTTCTTTTTGCTTCATCAAACATGCACCTTCAGCATGCACCTGGAGTGGTTTGCTGCCGAGTGGGATGAGAATTAGCACCTCCAAGTCCGAGGCCATGGTACTCCACCGGAAAAAGGTGGTTTGCCATCTCCAGGTTGGAGGAAAGTCCTTACCCCAGGTGGAGGAGTTCAAGTATCTTGGGGTTTTGTTCACGAGTGAGGGAAGGATGGAACGTGAGATTGACAGGCGGATTGATGCAGCGGCAGCATGCAGGTCGATTTACAGGTTTGTTGTGGTAAAGAAGGAACTGAGCCAAAAGGCAAAGCTCTCAATTTACCTGTCAATCTACGATCCTACTCTCACCTATGGTCATAATCTTTGGGTCATTACCGAAAGGACAAGATCTCGTATACAAGCCCCCAAAATGAGTTTCCTTCGCAGGGTAGCAGGGCGCACCCTTATGGATTGGGTGAGGAGCTCTGCCACCTAGGAGGAGCTCGGAGCCGCTGCTCCTCCACATGGAGAGAAGTCAGCTGAGGTGACTCGGGCATCTGTTTTGGATGCTTCCTGGACACCCACCTACCTAAGGAGGTGTTACAGGCATGTCCCACCGAGAGGAGGCCTCGGGGAAGACCCAGGGACTATGTCTCTTGGCTGGCCTGGGAACGCCTCGGGTTCTGGAGTGTCTGGAGAGAGGGGAACCCAGAAAATGACATGATGCCTTATCTGAGAACTTTCTGACATCTGAGCTCTACATGCTGTATATACAGATTAATGAAAGCTGAAAGCAGTGTGTTTGCTACTTTTGTATTTTAGTCTTAATAGTTCAGTAAAATCAGTGTCGATTGAGACTATAATCCCCCTTCCTTTCCATGCGTTCAAAATAATGAGAATATTTCGGTAACACTTTATAATAACTACACACTATGAATCATTTACTACACATTAGCATCTAGTGAATTCATTATATTTTGAGCATTAACTCTACACTAATAAACGTTAGTAAGCAGTTTATAACTGCAGCTACAAATGCTGTATTCTTGACTTATAAGCACCTATATAATGTTTAATAATTGTACTTTCATACTTTGTTAATGATTAATTTTTCATTACTAAATGAAGTATTGCATTATTTACAAACCATTTGTATTCAAGAGTAGTTGGTGGTTACTAGGATTTTTCAGAATGAGTTAGTAAATGATTAATAAACTATTAATATCAATGCTTATATATCGTATTATTCAGACATATATTAATGGTTACTATATATGTTAATGAATGCTTTATTAACTCAACTTCATGGAGCATGCAAATGAAAAATAAAAGCTTGGTATCAAATGAACAATAATATCTGCAATCTTATCTAAAAAATAAAATTACTGTAAAGTTCAAAAATTGCCAAACAACAGGTGTCAAAATACATAAAACTGGATAAAAAAATCAATATAATAATTTAACAATATAATAAGAAGCAAAGTTTAAACTGTACATACATTTTTTTTAAGATAAGGTTGCAAAGATAAATTTTTCATTTGAAGTACATTCATATGTGTATCTTCAAACGAATAGGATTGAATAAAGTCGTTTATGTAATTTTTCCTGTTTAGAATTTAACTGAGCCTTTATTTGTCATTTATAAGGGATTTATAAAGCATAAATAGTTCTCACTTTAGATTAGGTCACAAAACAGGATTAAGTTGACCTAATAAAGCATTTCTTAACATACAAATTAACTATTAGTACATGCCTAAATAATAAAAATTATAAATGTTAATTTCAATAGTTTATTAATCATTTACTAACTCATTCTAAATGATCCTAAAAACCCTCAATTTACTTTTAAATACAAATGGCTTGTAAATGATGCGATACTTAATTAGTAATGAAAAATAAATCATTAACTAAGTATGAAAGTACAATTATTAAGCACATTATAAATTGGTTATAAGTCAAGAATAGAGTAATTGTTGCTGCAGTTATGAACTGCTTACTAATGTTTATTAATGTTGAGTTAATGCTCAACAAATAATGAAATTACTATTTGCTAATGCTTAATAAATGGTTCATAGTGTGTAATTATTATAAAGTGTTACCAATATTTCCATCACAGAAATGTGAGACTCTGCCATCTTGGTTTATGTCTGTTCCTGTGGGGAGCTCATACCGTCATTGAGTGTGATTCAGCGTGATTACACTAATTCTAATTCAGCAACTATTTTTAAAAGCTTAATATTCATTCATTTTCTTGTCGGCT